GTTCTTCTTGCCCCTCTACGTGGAGGGTCCCTCATCTTGGTCGTCGCGCTTGGCCTTGCCTAGGTCCCAGCCCCCGTTGAAGACCGCTCGGACTGCCTCCTCGCCGGAGGCGTGGTTCGTGGCAACGTCGAGCAGGTCACGGGTGGTACGGGGCTTTAGGCTCCAAGGTTATGGATCAGGGACTCGCAGGTTGTCCCGGAGAGGAATGCGTTGATGATGTCCACGTCGACGACATCACGGAGGGAGTTGCATCGTTGGGAGAACTTGCGGATGTAATCCCACAGGGACTCGCTGGGGTCCTGCTAGCAGCTCTTGAGGTCCTAGGAGTTACCAGGGTGGACATACGTCCCTTGGAAATTTCTAACAAAGATCCTCTTGAGGTCCGCCCAGTCGCGGATGCTGCCGTGCGGGAGGAATTCAAGCCATGCCCGACCATGTTCCCCCACGCAGATGGGGTGGTACTGAATGATGAAGTGACCATCATCCACTCCTCTCGCTCGGCAGGCGAGCCGAAAGTCTTTGAGCCATATTTCGGGGTTCGTCTCCCCGTGTACTTGGCGATGTTGGTGGGCGGTCGGAAGCGCTGTGGGAACGGCACTCCCTGGATGCGCTGGCCAAAGGCCCGTGGTCCCGAGCCATCCAAGTTGGGACTCCGGTCGTCTAGCTGGTGACCATGTCTGGGGCGCGTTTCACCGCTCCCCTCGATGGTTCGGCCGGGGCCCATGCCGCCTGCCCTCACCGCCGCCCGATGGACGTCATCATCATGCCAGGCGTGATGCCGGTTGCTGATGACGCTGCGAGCATCTTGACTGGACCAAGCCATTCGCGTACCGACGGTAGATGTGGAGCAGGCACTGGGCTGCGGGCTCCTGTGCCGTGCTTGGCTGCTGTAGCGGTGAGCGGATGGAGCGATCCGTTTGGTGCATCCCCACTCTCCTGGTGGGGAGAGAGGCCATGAGTCAGAGTCACGATGCGGAGCTTTTCGCCTGTTGAACAGCGGCGGCTTCCACCAGCGCCCGGATGTTCTGGTGGACCACCCGCTCCTGGGGGTCACCGGGATCGGGAACATCGCGCAGAAGCATCGCCACAGCGGCTGATGTTCTGGCTAGCCCGAGCGAACTATGGGGAATCGTTCCCCTCGTCCATGATGTCGCGCTGGACCTGGCGGGTGTGACCCCAGGCACCGCTCGCCGGGTTACGTGCATGGGGCTCAACGTGCTGCACCAAGCGCGCTGGCGCAAGTGGTGGCTGGTTCTGCCACCGTTGTTGTAGCTCCTTAGGGTGCTCTTGTGCGAGCACAAGGGCCCCCGCACGAGGGTCCAGAGGGTGTGAGTCTATAAGGACTCCGCTACCACCGACGGCTGTACCGGAGCGTCCGCCATAGCGTACTCCCGGGACAGACGGTGGCTAGGTGCCATGTCACCGATGTTGGAGCCCTCGCTCTCAACCTCATCATCCAGGAGTTCGTGGAAAGTGGTGGGAGCATAGCTCGCAATTCCTATGAATTCGGATGTGAGAGGGTGCGGCGCTAGCGTCCTTCAGAGCCCCCGAGCGTATGCGTCCACAGGGGACGCGAGGCCATAGGGGAACCGGTCATATGGTGGTTGCGGTGTGGACGATGCGGTCCCTCTGGATAATCGGCAGAAGATAGTAAATAGCGAGTAAATAACAACATGTACATTACTCATAGCGGGGTTTGAGCATAGCGTTTGCTCGGAACGAAGCGCAGGCGTCTCGTCATTGAAGTTGTCGGGAGTCCTGGAGCCGATGGAGGGCGCCCCTCTGATGGGCGTTGGGATGGATGCCTCCTTGTGGAGGTGCAGTACGCCAAGCCAGTCGGTGACGAAGTCCAGGCTTCTGAAGAGGAAGACCTAGGATGGCTCAAAGACGGGTGGAACCCACATCCCAACAGGTGGGAGTGCGGGAAACTCCAGTGAGCTAAAGCGAGTCATATCAGTTGAGCCCGCCATGGCGGAGGTGGCGGAAAGATGGGCCATCCGATGACCAAAAGTGTGAACGTACAACGTCTTCCCCACGGACGGCGCCAACTGTCGGTGCAGAAGGTGACCAACACATAAATATTTGTTTTTGCCGTACGTTGTGATCGGATGTGGCCTAGCACTCAATGACATAGGGTTTATACTAGTTCAGGCAACGTGCCCTATGTCCAGTTTGAGTCGGTCGATGACTTTATTCCTGAGCCTAGGTGCTCGAAGTTTGCTGTGGGGTTACAAGCGAGAATGAGAAAGATGGGGGTGCAAGAGATCCGGTCGGACTCTGGTCTGAAGGGCCAAGAGTGACAGGAGCTCCGCTATGTGCTCTATGTTCGAGCGTGCGCTCTGTGTAGCTTTAGAGTGTCAAAAGCTAACCGAGGATGAATCGATGTAAGTGAACTGATGGATCCCCTTTTTTGGGGGAGAGCGCATCCCCTTTTATAGATTAAGGGGATGGCCTTACAAGTGAGAGAGGGAGAGTGTACGTATGATAAGTCTTGTTGCTCGTGCCGTCGGGTACAAGATGATTGTTGGCGCCCATAACACTGTTAATGTTAGATGCATGTGGGAGGTTGTGTCGTCTTCTTCTGGTATGGCAGACGTCGGTGCCTTTCATACTATTGATGCCCGGAGGCATGTAGGGGGTTTTACCATGTTCGCCTAGTATGGTAAATGTCGGCGCCCACAACACTGTTGACGCCCAGAGGCATGTGGGGGAGCGTTACCGTGTTTATCTGGTATGGGAGTTGATGGTGCCTACAACACTGTAGGGAAAATATCGGCGCCCACAACACTGCTTGGGTTCTAACATGCTATGGAGGTTGCAGGGTACTATCCTGTAGGTGTACAGGGCATGGTCCTCGGTATTGTGGTTGACTTGAGGGCCCTGCCTTACTTTCTCCGTCCGTTTCCTGGTCCTCACCAAGCGGGAGTCCCCGGTCGGTTGGTACCAGTCGGCTCTGATTGCGCCAGTTGGAGAAGAGATATAAGCAGAGGTTCGGCACATCCCCGGTCGGAGACGCGGGTCGGAGCGAAAGTGGTGTTTGGCCAGGCCTTCCGGTCGGATAGGCCGTCAGGAGGCTGGCTGGAGTCGGAAGCGAACGTTGTACCTCTTTAGTGAGGCCTTCCGGTCGGAGAGGCGGGCTGGAGTCGAAGCGGGTGTCGTTCCTCCTCGACCAGGCCTTTCGGTCGGAGATTGGATCGCCCTTCTGGCCTATTGTTTAGGTATTTGGGCCGGCCCAGGAGTTACGCGTCGTTCGCAACGTTGTCTGCTGGATCGAGCCTTTATTGGGAAGCCGGTTCATGAGGGATCCGGGTTTATGAACCCAACAGTAGGGCTCTAGATTCTAGTAGAAACATTTTGGAACCATATCAAAGAGATATTTCAAATGATAAATCAAAATCACTTTTAACAACCCACATTTTGTGCTAATGGAGAGATTACAAGCAAACAAATAAACGGAACTATTAAAATATTTGCACGGACCACTTTACTAGCTAAGATAAAAAGATTAAAATGTCGACTGTAGGCCTGATCGAGTACATAATGCATTTAGTTTGGTGACGACAGGTACTAAAGCCTGAAATATTGACCTAAATCGATGGACGATGCACATAGTTGTTGGTCGTACGTCCTGTTCGTTTGGCTTATAAGATGTATGTTTTTAATCAATAAATAATATTTTTTTATAAAAGTATTTTTAGTTATGGCTTATCAGCCGAACTAAAATGCAGTAGTCGCAAACGCTGAGTGCAGCGTAAAGTACGATTGCATAGTCGCTGAGTGCGGTATAAAGTACCTGTGCGGGCAGATTTTCAAGGTGCACATTTTAGTAAATAAAGCGGCTGTGTTACAAATTACAACGTACTTGCTGGTACATGAGAGCAGAGCCCGAAAACTCAACGGGAAGAACAGATAGACTAATTCCATGCAAGTACTAGTGTTGAAAGTTATTACCTGCATACGCTTCTCTACACCTAAAAAATAGCTAAGGCTATCGTCTTACTGCCCCGCTCGCCCCTCCCGAACGCGCGTTGGGACGATCGTCTGCGCTCGTATAATGCGCACAATCTTAGAATCTAGCCCCTATGCCAGCAATAACCTTCCCCAGTTGAGTTTTTATATCTTTCTTTTTACAAAAATTATTGATGGCATCATAAATATTTATGTTGACATCATAAATAATCGTTTAAGTGCAAAACTATTATTTCTAAAAATATTCAAATAAAATCATATGTAACTATTATTTTTATTCCATAAAACTTCAAAATTCATAGTGTTTTGTAGTTCAAAACAAGTAGCAGTTCAAAACAGTTTGGCGCTCGCGACTTCAGCCTAACCTATGACCATAACTACATATAGGGTGTGTTTGGTTCTCTTCCCCACCAAGCCTGGCTAGAAAAAACAAACAAGGTCAGCCCAAACCTGGCTCCACTAATGCAAGGTACGGAGTACTTGTGTTTGGTTTGCCTGTACTAGTGGAGCCTGGCTTGTATAAATCATGTTTGGTTCCCTGAATAGATTGGATAGGATCACCGCATCTGAACATTGGTAAGCTTACACCCATTGGAGCAATTCGTCAAACAGGTGCAGGGTAGCCACCTCCGCCGTCGCCATGCCTGCACCGTCGAACAAGGAGCTCCAGCCGCACCGCATCGACCTCCGCCGATCCGCGTGAGATCCAGCGGAGAGAAGAAGAAGAAGACAGCGGCATGAGACCTCCACCGCGAGAGGAAATGGAGGCGTGGAGTGGAAGCGGGCTCGTCCTCCTGCAGGCCGTCGAGTGGAAGCGTAGCCGGAACAGGCGCCGCGAGAGGAGGAGGCGACCCTCGTCCTCGCGGACCCGGCCGGCCGTGGCAAGTGCGGAGATGGTAGAGTGGAAGGATTTCGACGCGAGCGATCTAGGACGCCAGAGGCATGGAGTTCGTCCACCAATCCACCTTCAACGACTCGGGAGGACTGGCGGCGGGAACTTGACGCTCCCTCTTTCTCCTCCCCCTTCCCCCTCATCCTCCACCTCGACACCGGTAGGAGATTGACGCCGCACGGTAGGAGATTGGACCGGCGGCGAGAACTTGACGCCGCGCGCGGTAGGGAATAGCGGTTGGCGTCACAGCGACGGGAAGAGCAGCGGCCAGCGAGGGGATGGCGAGCTCCTTCTCCTTCCCGCTGGTGACCCCGGCCATGGCTCCCGCTCGAGGATCCCGGTCGTGCGAGGAGGAAGGGGACGGAAGGACCCCGGCCATGGCTCCCGCTCGAGGACCTCGACCGCACGAGGATGAAGGGGACGGAAGGACCCCGGCCATGGCTCCGCTCGAGGACCTCGACCGCACGAGGAGGAAGGGGACGGAAGGACCCCGGCCATGGCTCCGCTCGAGGACCTCGACCGCACGAGGAGGAAGGGGACGGAAGGAGAAGGAGGAAGACAGCGCCGGGAGGTGAGGAGCTCGCCCGAGACGGGAGGTGAGGCCGCTGTGCGGGGAGGTGAGGAACTCCTGGTGCTCGACGTGGGAGGTGAGATGTGCGACAGGAGCGCTAGGCCAAGCCTGGCTCCGTTAGAACGAGCGATTTGGGCGTTTCCACGTAGCCACGAAAACTCTACGGATTGGGCTTGTGCAAGCCTGGCTAGCGGAGCCTTACAGGAACCAAACAGGCCCAGGTTGCATTATGCAAGCCTGGTTAAGGGCAGTCAGGATACCAAACACATCCATGATGTTGTGGTTCTGTACCAACATGAAGGCTTATACTCTGCACCCATTCATGCAACAATGCGCAATGGTCCGCCGCAGTGGACGGAGCGTCAACCTGCATGCTCATCGACCTTGACTTTGGTTGCCACTCAGCTCGTACTAAGGTTGGTATACATTATTTTGTTCCCGTTGCAACACACAATCATAGATCTATGATGGTTTGTAAACTAGATCTACAAACAATAAAATAGGTGATAAAGATTATGAAATAAGCTTTATATTTTCTAAATAATTAGATTTAAATTTTTTTAATATGTTCATTTAACCACAAGCCACACGTGTGTCGCTATAGACGTGGACAAAAATTCGTGACCCGGTGCAACGTACGGGCATATATGTAGTTTAAAAAAAAAAAATACCTCCCTTGCTGCTGTGAAGGGCGGAAGGATTACGTCATGTGAATAGTCTAGTGTTTTACTACTTGGACGCCCCATCCAATCGAAATATATTTTGAAACGTGGAAAGGAAAAAAATAGTGAGTACTTAATAGGGGTGATAATTTAGATGCGATTGTTTTATATTTTTTCATAATGGCTAAGGTGGTTCTCTTTTTTATTTTTTAAAAAAAAGAATAGATCGATTGGCTATTATTGATAATAACGATTAGAGTCTATCTACCAAATTAATGGTTGGACATGTTTTATTGTGGTAAGAATTCATAGGATTTATACTCACTACCTTACAAATTGTAAGTTATTTTGGCTTTTCTAGATATATAATTTTAAATATATATCTAGATACAGTGTATACTAGATGCATAATAAAAACTATATATTAATTGTTAGCGCAAAGATTGGTCACACACCAGCTTGGGTTAGATAACCCGGGTTGCCACGGACCGAAGAACGCAGCGGATATCCAACACTCTTTTGTGGTGAAGAATGGCAAGATTTACGAGCAAACCACCAAAGAATATCCAAGTGTGCTTACGTGACGAAGAATGTTAGTTTTCGGGCAAACTAGTAAAGCAACCGTCAAAGCTCTCATTCAGGAGGGATTCCGTCAGGGCAAGGATGTCGCTGGGTTGCTGAAAGGACCTAGGATGTCGCCTAGAGGGGGAGTGAATAGACGTTTCTGAAAATTAACACCTTTAAATGCGAAAACAATTAGAAAGGAAAAACTCCAAATTAAGAGTACTACCACTCCTCACAAGTTAGCCACAGAGTAAACAATGTACAAAGAATATATCTAGAAGCTACAATCCTGCAACACCAAGTTAGAACAGAGAATAAATATTTTCAGCGCAGGCAGGAAATACCGGACGAGTCCGGTATACACGATTTCTACAGATCAGCCCCGAACTTGCTCCTTTCGATTTTTATCTTCAAACCAAACTACAGGCACCTACTGGAGATGACAATATACACAGAGAACCTGCACAAGATCTAGAGCAACACAAATAACGAATGAAATACGAAATGAGACACGATATTTGTTTTACCAAAGTTCAGACTCGTTCGAGTCCTACTCTCTGTTGAGGGGGCTGCGGGCGACCCAGCGAAGGTCAGCCCTAGAGGTTACCATGAAGGTCACTCTAGTCGGAGTCTTTTCCAACACTTTTTCCTCCTTCCACTAGTTGATTCTGAGGCGGCGGAATCGACTGTTACAAACTTTCCGAGGCACACCACAATCTCTCGGGTGCTCTCCGGCGACGCCTAACCGTCTAGGACCGAAGAGTCCAAGAGTAACAAATGCGAATCACGAGATTGACAATATACACAAGTGCTCAAGTGGTTGGATTTGCTCTCCTTTTGAATTTCACTCAACCCACAATTTGATTTGGCAAATTTGATCAATCACTTACTAAGAGAGGGCTGGGAGAGTTGGCAAGGCTTAAAAACGTGTGTGTATCAGCAGCCTCCAAAGGTAGAGGCTTGGGGATATTTATAGCCCCCTTGAAAAAACTAGCCGTTTTATAGCCGTTGCAATACCGGACACGTCCGGTATGCATACGGTATGACTTACACTGCACCAATGGTGACTAAGTTACAGTGAATTTGTGAGGCGTCGGAACTCCCGATGAATGTCAGAACTTCCGATCGTCGAAACTCCCGACACACGTCGGAACTCCCGACCCTCAGTATATTTGAAAACCATTGCAACCGAGTTAGAGTATTTGAGGTGTCAGAACTCCCGACCGTCGGAGCTTCCGACTTACGTCGAAACTCCCGACACTCAGTACATTTAAAAACTATCTGATATGATCCCGCTAGGGTTTGTTCCTGATCTTTCGATGAGAGGTGTGGGATAACTCGATTGATATCGTTGGCCTCTGGTCATCCATACCGGACACGTTTGGTATGACCACCACAATGAACTCTCCAAATTATTTAAATAGCGAGTCGTCGGAACTCCCGACCATTACCGAAACTTCCGACCGTCGGAACTCCCGACATACGTCGGAACTTCCGACGAACCAACCCGAAAACAACAATTTTATAGTTACTGGGCAAATACCGAACACATTCGGTATGCATACCGGACACATCCGATATAGCCAGACCAACAACAAATCAGTTAGCTCTTTTGTCTCTCAAACACTCAAATCTCACATGGGTTGGCTTGAGCACTTTTGAAACATTATCTATCAACATGATGCATCCCTCTTAATAGTACGGCATTCCTATTAACTCAAATTCAAATGTATAATAAATTTAAACCCTTTTGAGTTGTTCTCTTTCAACCGAAGCCGTGTATTCCAAACTTCATCAAGTGTGGGTGCTAACATGTCAACTTTGATCTTTTTCACTTGAGCATAGCCATCTTAAGCACGTGACTTGATTCCATTCATCAATTTTGAATAATCCCAAATGTATCAAGTCACTTCCATCAAACACTCCAATAGTGATTTGATCCTCCACATAAACATGGCCATCATAGCTTGATTAGTACATTAACTAAATGTAAGTACTTTCTTCTTCACCCTACCTAGGTTCTTCGGCCGCCAAGCCATCGCTTGTCCTTCACCCTTGATTAGTACCTCGAAGCCTTTCCTTGCTATCTTCACCATCTCAAGCCATCAAGTCACATCTTGTGTTGAATCATCCATTCATGTATTGTTATCTTTTTCATTTCAATTTAGCAAGCTTCAAATATGAGACCATTCCATATGCAATCCCTTATGTCTCATTAATTAATTCTTACAAGCTTGCTTTCACATAGAACATGAAAATCCCACAATAAATAAGCCTTTGCATGAATTCCATTTGCATTGTTGTCTTGTGCTTGAACTAGATTGTTTATGCAACAACACATCATTTTGGCTTTCATTAAGTACCTTTGAGATGACCTATTACCTGTCCACACTTAGCAAACGGGTTAGACCTTTAATCACGTTGTCATTCAATCATCCAAAACCCACTAAAGGGCTAGATGCACTTTCAGTTGCCGTAGGTCTACCAGCAAGCCTAGGACGCCATTCTTCATCATCAGATCAAGCGATGAATAGCAACAAGGGGCTGGAAAAGAGATTAGGGCAAAGGAGATAGGAGTAGATTGTTTTTTATCGTTGTGTGTGTTGGGCACCTCAATTGGCCATGCCCCTTATATTATAAGGTGGGGCGGTCTTATCACTTAAGGAGTCGAAAACTCTTGAAAAACACGTCAAATACAACCTAGATTCGATCAAGCCGCTTTTTCTTGGAAAACCAACCTTGCTGGTTCAATTAATCAAAAGACTGTCATTCTCACCTCTCACCAATTCAAGTATAAATATTTATGGCACAAAATTAGTATCATTAACTAGATTATTGAATAAATTTTAATAATAAACTTATTTGAAGATATAAATGTTGCTCATATTTTCAACAACCTAGTTAAATTTAGAAAAGTTTGACCAGCATGAATCATATAACGCCACTTTTATGGGACGAAGAAAATATTCTTTATCACCTATGTACAAAATGGAATTAAGCGAAATAGACACGAGCATCAACCTTCTGTTCATCTTTCACTTTTCAGATTAAATGCGCATTATTATTGCCGCTAATTAACAACCCACATTTTGTGCTAATGGAGAGATCACAAACAAACAAATTAACGAAACTATTAAAATATTTGCACGGACCACTTTAGTAGTTAAGATAAAAAGATTAAAATGTCAACTGTAGGCCTGATCGAGTACATAATGCATTTAGTTTGGCGACGACAGGTACTAAAGCCTGAAATATTAACCTAAATCGATGGACGATGCACATAGTTGTTGGTTGTAGTCGCAAACACTGATGCACATAGTTGTTGGTCGTAGTCGCAGACGCTGAGTGCAGTATAAAGTACGATTGCATAGTTGTTGGTCGTAGTCGCAGACGCTGAGTGTAGTATAGAGTACCTATGCGAGCAGATTTTCAAGGTGCACATTTTAGTAAATAAAGCGCCTTTGTGTTACAAATTACAACGTACTTGCTGGTACACGAGAGCAAGACCCCCAAAACTCAACGGGAAGAACAGATAGACTTAATTTCATGCAAGTACTAGTGTTGAAAGTTAGTACATTACCTGCATACGGTTCTTTCAAAAGAAATGACTTGCGTTGCTGTTGCGAAGGCCGGAAGGATTAC